CCCCGTAGACGAGCAAAGGCACTAAGCCGGGCCCCCACGCCACACTCTGCCATCTTCATGGTCCTGCCAAACCATTGGCTCTTATACCAGTTGTTGGGCGAAAATGGCCCAAAAGTACGCTTAATATGGTGTGATATTATCTGCTTTGAACCAAGTCCGCACGGTTTTCCCCAAAAGGCCTCGCACCATTAAGAGTATCCAACTCTTTATAAGTAGTTTATTTTTCTTTTCTACTTTTCATGTGGGACTTTGTTCACACTCTCCCAACAATCTCCCCTTTGAACTAAGTTCCATATGATCCATCACCGTTTATGGGCTAATTTGGAGATTAACTGTGTGCCACCCACATGATCTTGGGTATTTGCGATCACCGAAGTCCAATGGCTGTGTATGCGTCTTTAATGCTACGAGTATAGATCATAAACCCCATACGCGCAAAGGCACTAAGCCGGGCCCCCACGCCACAATTGCCATCTCCATAGTCCCGCCAAACCATTGGCTCTTGTAGTAGTTGTTGGGCTAAAACAACCTAAAAATACTCATAACATGGGGTGATATTGTCCACTTTGGGCCAAGCCTCCATGGTTTTCCCCAAAAGGTCTCACACCATTAATAGCTATCCAACTACTTATAAGTAGCTTATTTTCCTTTTCTACTTTCCATGTGGGACTTTGTTGACACACTCTCAACAATCTCCCCCTTGAACTAAGTTCCACATGGCCTATCACCGTTTATGAGCTTATTTGGAGATTAACTGCGTTCCACCCAAATGATCTTGAGTATTTGCCGTCACCGAAGCCTAAAGGCTGTGTATGCGTCTTTAAAGCTACGAGTGAAGATCAGGCAAAGGCACTAAACCGGGCCCCCACGCCACACTTTGCCATCTCCATAGTCCCGCCAATTCATTGGCTCTTATACCAGTTGTTGGGCTAAAACGGCCAAAGATGCTCTTAACATGGTGTGATATTGTCCACTTTAGGCCAAGCCCGCACGATTTTCCCCAAAAAGCCTCACACTCCCAACACTCTCCCCCTTGAACTAACTAAGTTTCACATGGCCCATCACCGTTTATTGGCTAATTTAGAGATTAACTGTGTTCCACCCACATGACCTTGAGTATTTGCGGTCACCGAAACCCAAAGGCTGTGTATGCATCTTTAAAGCTACGGGTAGACGGGTAAAGGAACTAAGCCGGGCCCCACGCCACACTCTGCCATCTCTATAGTCCCGCCAAACCATTGGCTCTTATTCTAGTTGTTGGGCTAAAAAGGCCCAAAGATACTCTTAATTAACATGGCGTGATATTGTCCGATTTGGCCAAGCCCGCACGATTTTCCCCAAAAGGTCTCATACCATTTAGAGTATCCAACTCATTATAAGTAGCTTATTTTTCTTTTTTACTTTCCGTGTGGTACTTTGTTCACACACTCCCAAAACAGAAATCTCTGCCCAATAACACTACCGATTCCTGATTCACTGACCTCTACTGCGAAATTCTCAAGAAATTGAGTTGATATTATTTTTTGTCTTGCTAAAAATAATAAGAGCTTGTTTGGAAAGGAAATGAATTTGGGTGTAATTGGGTGTAATTACACAATTTGGCAAGTTTGTTTGCCCTGGTATTACTTGGTCAGCATGGAATTGGATGTAATTGGAGGGGTGTAATTACACTCTCCAATTCTCAAGGGGGAGGTGAGAATTGGTGGTAATTACACTGTGTAATTGCAAGATTGCTTTTTAGCTTCTTTCCTTTTTGTTTTTATTTTAATTTATTTTTTTATAAATTTTTATTTCTATTTTTGTAATTTTATTTTTACTTTTTAATTTCTTTTGAAATTTTAATTTTTTTTGTACATTATTTATCTTTTATTTCTCTATATTTACTTCTTGTGATTCCATGTAATTGCTTATGTTTTATTTTTTATTTATTTTATTATTCTATTTTCTTAAACTACACCTCCTAATATAAGAAATAATGAGTCATTAACAAACTTGACATATAATGAGTGATGCAATTAAAGTGAAATTTCGTTGTTGAATGTGGTTATAAACTTATCATGTTTCCTAATTATTAAGTTGCACTGGAACTTACTATTATTATGTTGGAATTTGACATATGTTAAACTATTTTTTTTTTTGACTTTTGAAATTGTGTTATATTCATGGTTTCAATTTACTTGTTTTAGTAGTATTGGCTGACATTGCATATTGTTCATTTTTAGTTAGAATTGATAGATTAGTTTTGTCAAACATTTGAATAATGTTATGATATTATATTTGTAAATATTAATTTATTTTATCGAACATGAACTCCATGATGTTCTTACAAAACGTATATTTTATTTTTGTAAGTATCTAAACTAAATATTATTAATTTAAAAAATATATAAATTATTTTTACAATTTATAAATATATGATTACTAAATTAATGTATATTCACGAAAAAATATACATCTTAAATATAAAATATAATATCATTTATAATTATAAAAATTTATAGGCATATAATTATTATATTAACTTTTAAGTTTTGATAATTACTTAATTTGCNGATGTAGCTTATTAGCTAATGCTTCAACCAACTACGCAGCATGTTTGGCCAAGTTTTTTTTTTTAGTCAAAAGTGATTTTTTCTTTAAAGTTAAGGTGCTTGGCCAAAAAAATTTAAAAAAAAAAAAGTGCTTTTAAGTAGAAGCAGAAGCATTGAGGGGCAGAAAAAAGTAACTTCTCCCCAGAAGTACTTTTTTGAAAATTACTTTTGAGAAAAATACACTTAGAAGCACCTTTTAAGCGGCTTGGCCAAACACTAATTGCTGCTCAAAAGTACTTTTCAAATTAATTTACCAAGCAAAAATTGTTTCTCACCAAAAGTACTATTTTTAAAAGCACTTCTCAAAATAAGTAGATTTTTCCAGCTTGGCCAAACAGGCTATCAATCGTGTGATACAAAACATTAAGAGCTTGTTTGGAAAGCCACCTTAGAAATGGATTTGGGTGTAATTGAGTGTAATTACACAGTTTGGCATGTTTGTTTGGCCAAGTAATTACTTGGTCAGCTTGGAATTGGGTGTAATTAGAGGGGTGTAATTACACTCTTCAATTCTCAAGGGGGAGGTGAGAATTGGTGGTAATTACACTGTGTAATTGCAAGGTTGCTTTTTAGTTTCTTTCCTTTTTGTTTTTGTTTTATTTTATTTTTTTATAACTTTTCATTTCTATTATTTTAATTTTTTAATTTTATTTTTACTTTTTAATTTCTTTTGAAATTTTAAAAATTTTTTTTGACATTATTTATCTTTTATTTCTCTATATTTACTTCTTGTGATTCCATGTAATTGCTTATATTTTATTTTTTATTTATTTTATTATTCTATTTTTTTAAACTACACCTCCTAATATAAGAAATAATGAGTCATTAACAAACTTGACATATAATGAGTGATGCAATTAAAGTGGAATTTCGTTGTTGAATGTGGTTATAAACTTATCATGTTTCCTAATTATTAAGTTGCACTGGAACTTACTATTATTATGTTGGAATTTGACATATGTTAAACTATTTTTTTTTTTACTTTTGAAATTGTGTTATATTCATGGTTTCAATTTACTTGTTTTAGTAGTATTGGCTGACATTGCGTATTGTTCATTTTTAGTTAGAATTGATAGATTTGTTTTGTCAAACATTTGAATAATGTTATGACATTATATTTGTAATTATTAATTTATTTTATCAAACATGAACTCCATGATGTTCTTACAAAACGTATATTTTATTTTTGTAAGTATCTAAACTAAATATTATTAATTTAAAAAATATATAAATAATTTTTACAATATTAGTTATAAATATATGATTACTAAATTAATGTATATTCACGAAAAAATATACATCTTAAACACAAAATATAATATCATTATACTTCTAAAAATTTATATGCATATTTTATTATATTAATTTTTAAGTTTTGATAATTACTTAATTGAAATTTAATCTAACTGTGTAATTACACTTGTGCAACCAAACAGTAAACTTGTAATTACACTGTAATTACACTATGACAAACAAATATGTCGTCGTAATTACACAACTGTGCAATTACTAGGGTGTGTAATTACTACCCTAGTAATTACACCAATTTCAATTACAGGGTGACTTTCCAAGCAGACAAAGGTAAATGATACTCCCGTATTAGTTAAATCCCTCTTAAGTTCATTGCCAACACTTTTAATATAAAGTTGGTTCCTAATTTTTTGTTACAAATGACTGATAGGAACATGGGCGGATTTTCTTTACATATAAAATTGTTTTGATATTCTAATATATATGTAATTACTTACATATATGTTATGAAATATATGTGAAGATTCAGTAATACAATTTTAATGAATATTAGATTTGAATTCATAATTTTAAATATACAATCTAAAACTTTTTTTAGATAATATTGACATTTAGTGTCCCCTCGTCAACTTGAAATCCTGGGTCCGAGTGAGTCATATTTCTTTCTTCATGTTAGAGAAGGAGAAAGAAAAAAGGTAATTAATTGAGTGGCCAATTCGACAATTGGGTTGTAAGACACCAGCAACTCCTGGGCATCAAACAATCTTCATCCTAGTTAGAGACGAAATTGGAAGAAATCTTTTGGTTTAATTTGTAGGGTGAACTTGACACTTGTCGTGTATCTCCCAGGGTAAATGAAGAACATATATAGAGGAAATGTCTAGAGAAAATCGTTAAAACCAAACTGATGATCATGGAAACTCAGGATATATAACTGGGTGAGGTAAGTTACTCTACATGGAATTAATTTATTAACACAAATCGTACGTTTCTCAATATATCAAGGATCTACTGCATGCTGCATTATTTTGATACTAGTCTCTATCTCGTCTAAGGATTTTGATAGATTTACTTGTACATCTTTTGGAACGATCTGTCGTGCTTTTGGGTTTCTAACTTGTTTATACATGCACCTTTATATATAAGGTACATCAAAATATAGAAAGATCAGTGCATAATGGTAGAATGATTATGCCACTTGAAGTGACGGAGGAGCCTATGTATGTAAATGCCAAACAATACCATGGAATTCTAAGGCGAAGGCAACTCCGTGCAAAGGCTGTGTTGGAGCAAAAAGTGGTTAAATCTAGAAAGGTAATTACTCTTCCCGTCTTACTCTTACATATATACTCCCCGTTTCAATTTATGTGAACCTATTTCCTTTTTGGTCCGTGCCAAAAAGAATGACCCATTTCCTTATTTGGAAACAATTTACCTTTATGCAATGATTTATAGCCGCACAAAATATATGTGCCTCATTTTACACAAGTTCAAAAGTCTTCTCTCTTTTTTTAAATTCCGTGCCCAGTCAAATGGATTCACATAAATTGAAACGGAGGGAGTATGTTTTTTGATGAGAGCTCAAGCCATCACTTTTTACTACTTTTTTATTAAAAAATACTCCCTCCGTTCCAATTTATGTGAACTTGTTTGATTGAGCACGGGGTTTTAAGAAAAAATGTAGACTTTTGGAATTTGTGGTCCTAAACAAGTTAAAAAGGGGGCCAGAGTATTTGTGTGGTTATAAAAGCTTCTCATTAAGGGTAAAATTATAAGTTTAAGCTAAATTGTTACCAAATTAGAAAGGTGTCATTTTTTTTGGAACCGACCAAAAAGGAAATAGGTTCACATAAACTGGAACAGAGGGAGTAGTAGTACGATATAGAATATATTTAACTTGACGGGAATATAACATATTGCAGCATTCTCATCCTTTTGTTACTGTCCTGATAAACAATAGAGCTTTGTAATTTTGTAGTTAGCATATATGAAGCATTCTTGATGTGATTTAAGACTAACTTTTTCCCTTGATTGAGTGCTAAAGCTGCATGTAAAGTTGACTCTATTTACCCATGCATCTTAATTATTTTATCAATTGTGTCAAAGATGATTAGCTCTTTAAAGAATACGTACACCTTGGAAAGTTCTATTACGATGTACTGATGCAAGTGTGAACGAAGAGTAGACTATTTATATTGCACCATAGATGTGTACGTTCTTCATGATACAAAATTATTTCTGCATCTTTTCAACATTTGGAGTCATATCTAGTAGTAAAAGGGTCAGCTAAATGATGTTATTTCTCATATGCATATCAGCCTTATCTTCATGAATCTCGGCACCGGCATGCGATGAGAAGAGCTAGAGATGGTGGCGGCCGATTTCTCAACACAAAAAAGAAGATCCAACTTCCTGCTAATAATAATATTAATGCAACTACTCCAAGCAGTAAAGGCAAAGGTTGTGCAGCCTCGGAAGTCAGTTCCATGGACTCTGATTTCTCTCAAAATTACTTGCTCAGTTCTGGACATATTGGATCATCCAATGCTACTTCTGTTGAAGGATTCCAGTTCCAAGGAATACATAATACAGAAAATCCTCAACTGGGTTGTCATTATCAGTGGAATCTCAATGACAACCATTGCAACTGCATGCAGTCAGGAGCTTCTAATCTCCAACCATTTTGAAGCAATGATAGAGTAACTCTAGTATTCTCTGATTTGGTCTTCAAACCGTATGAATGATACACTAGCACTAGTTTATAAAGATGGGAGTTTTGTAAATATCTAATATCCCTGCAGCTGCAACTTTATCTGTTATAAACACTACTGTAGTACAAGTTTTGGGGTTAGACAACAATCATTAGACAACTGGTTTTTATCTGCAACTTTATCTATGAGAACTAGTTTTTATAAATGTGCCTACTTTATTATGAGCATGAGTGAGTATTAGACAACAATCATTACACCTCAATCGCCAAACAAGTCGGGACCGATGAGAGTAAAATCATTGGATTTCCGCACTTACTCCAGCATCATGGTTAGTTCCATACCTAAGTACTAGGAAGCTTAGGGCATTTGCATCCATATCCACTTTTGGGGTCACAATTGAACTTATACCCATTTTGCAAGTCTACCCACTTTAGAATTAACTTCAGACTTATCGGGTCTGAAATTAAAAAAATTAGTCTAAAGTATAATGCACTTAAGGCCAATTAAGTGTAAAGTGCAAAAAATTGCTCTTAAGATGCACTTAAGGCCAAATAGGTCTGAAGTGAAAAATTGTACTTCAGATGCACTTAAGGCCAAATAGGTCTGAAGTGAAAAAATTACACTTCAGATGCACTGAAGGCTAAATAGGTCCGAAGTGCACCTAATATTTTTAGAGAAACTTTCAGAAACCACTATGTTTTCGTAGTTATTAGTTAGTTGTAGCTACTATTTACTATATTATTTCCTATAGCTATGTTTTCATATTTTTTAAAGTGTATTCAATGTATTTAAGGTACTGTATTCATGAATACAGTAGCATTTCTAGGCATGAAACAGGGGATTACAGCTAGACATGTTTTTGTATTCGAGTGTATTCGGCTGTATTCATGGCGTGAAACATGAGATTACAGCTGGACAAATTATTGTATTCGATTGTATTCACGGTGTGAAACAGGGGATTACACTGCTTTTAAACGGAAAGTGAATCAATTAACATAATAGACTCCTAATATAACTCAACAAACTCAATTATAACACACAAATTTTGTATTTTCAGTTATAAAAAAGATTCTCAACCGAAAAATACCCCAAAAACATAGCAATCTTCAGAGAAAATATATAGTACATCTAAATACATTAAATTATATTAATTAAAAAAATATATGAATACATTCATGGAATATAGCGAGATAGTGAATACAATGAAATACATGAAATACAGCGAGATACACTAAAAAATAATTAAAAAAATAATGAATACAATAAAATACATAAAAATACAGCGAGATTTATTTTAAAATACACTTAAAAAAAAGGTAAGAGAATCTTCAATTTGCTCAAGGGTAAAACAATCACCCTTGAGGTTGAATCTTCCAGACACAATCGACAATGTGAAAGCCAAGATCCAAGATAAGGAAGGGATTCCCCCAGATCAGCAGCGTCTGATTTTCACCAGAAAGCAGCTTGAAGATGGCCGTACCCTAGCCGATTACAACATCCAGAAGGAGTCGACTCTTCATCTCGTGCTCCGTCTCCGTGGTGGTGCTAAGAATAGGAAGAAGAATCGGAACCGAAGAGGGTTGACGACGGCAAAGGGGTTGGATACACTTTAATATAGTACTTCTTCTTCGACGAGTTTATCTTCTATGGAGAAAGATTGGTGTTGAGAGAGAGAGGGTGGAGAAAAATCTGAAAGAATGAGAGAGAAAAATAATACAAAGAGTATTTTATGGCTTAAGGGTAGGAGGTAACCATAAATAGATATTTGGCTATAAAAATCAAAAGGTAGCTATGGAATATAATTTTTTAAAAGGGTATTTATTTAAATTAGATAAGGTATCAACCTTTCCAATAGGAGGTAAACATTTCATGTTTTTATGCGGTTAAGGCCACGTAGGCCTGAAGTGCAAATTGCCCAGAAACAGAAATTCGTTCTTTGAATTTTCAACAATCCAATATACGATTTAACACATAAATCTACTCCAAATGAGCTCATATTTGAAATGTAACCCCCAAATATCATCAAGAACAAACACCAATCATCAATTTGTCAAAATAACAATAAATCTAAGTAACTCATTTTGCAATTAAGAAGAAGAAGTAGAAGAAGAAGAAGACGAAGAAGAAGAAAAAGAAGAAATCATAAGTAGTAGTAAAAAATAAAGTGCCACGGCAGCTCCCCACTGTAAAACACCATAACTACCTTAAGATGTGCTCACAAATACCATATGAATTTACTGTCACCTTTATTTTCATAGCAAAGAAGAAGAAGATGATGAAGAAGAAGAAGAAAAAGGAGAAGGATTAGAAAATGGTCTGAAGCTATCTGAACATTGGATACTAGTTAAAAAAAAATTAAAAAGTAGGTATAAATTAAATGGAGGCGACGAAATAAGGCACCCCTTACAATTTTTACAAAGTTTATGCACAAAAAAATATGAGGTACAACTTACCAGATACTTATAGGTCTTGTTTATTAATTGTAACATTTAACGTGCCAGAATAAATTCAAAAATAAGTATTACGGTGCAAATCACCTTTTTTTTTTTTAAAAAAAAAAAATTAGTTTCCTCCTACCCTAGGTTCACATCTTTGCCTCTTAAGAAAAAGTCATTCAAGTTTGAGGTACGTACCGTTAGATCCCAAAGCGCACACAAGTATACGCAGTTCATGTTACGATCCAAAATCCTAACTTGTCGTGATGGCGCCTAACGTGATACTAGGCAAGCCGACATTACGAGATAATTCCCACACTTTTAATAGAAAATGGATTAAAGCAGTTTAAATAATAATAATTCTCATAACAGGGACAGAAACCTAAAACTCTACGCGGAAATTCCCAAATATCGGGATGTCACCGAGTATATGAGCATCTAAATATCACAAGTCTAGAAAATAGTGTCTATGATAATCCAAAACTAAATACAATAAGCGGAAGGATAGGGAAAGAGAAACAAGGTCTGCGAAACGCCGAGGAGCTACCTTGAAATCTCCAAAGGATCAACTGCGCAGTGAATCAACATCCACCGTGTCCGGAAACACCTGGATCTGCACACGAAGTGCAGGGTGTAGCGTGAGTACAACCAACTCAGTATGTAAAAAGACTAAATAAAGAACTGAAAGTAGTGACTAGCTTCACGATTGAAGTTCAATTATAGTAATTTCAACATAGGAAGGTAGGCATGCTTTCAAGTTCGACAATAAATGCCAAAACAGTTAATTCATGTCAAGTTCAACTGAAACAGAGATAATATATATCTCTCAGAAATGTCAAAAAAGTGATATATGACACCTAAAGTGCAATAATAATGAAGTCAATTCATCCTCTCAGTGTAACAATTACTCAGTCCTCCCATTCACTCCAACCTCACAATCCCTCTTTCCTCACAGTCACTCATTCCTCTCAATCACTCAGCACTCTGCACTCGCATTCAATAGGCACATGCGCTCACTAGGGGTGTGTACAGACTCCGGAGGGGCTCCTTCAGCCCAAGCGCTATAACAGGCCAATCATGGCATAAATTAATGAAACATGCTGTGGCGTGCAGCCCGATCCATAAATACCTCACAATTAGGCCCTCGGCCTCACTCAGTCATCAACCTCTCCAATCTCTCGGGCTCTTAGTAATCATGAAAATCAGCCCAAACAGAAATGATATGATGTATCAACAAGGAACAATAGAGATTGAGATATGATATGCAAGTAAAATGGAGACTGAGTACAAACAACAATTTAACAGATAATTTAACTCGTAACACAACCTCTGTGGGTCCCTACAGTACCAACACATAGCCTAAACATGATTCGTAACATGGTTTGCAGTCGAATTGCTATAACACATGGGAATATATGGATAAACAACATATTATTCGACTATACAGTCCCATGGAATTGCCCAAGTTACAATTCCTATGGTGCACGCCCACACGCCCGTCACCTAGCATGTGCATCACCTCAAAACCAATCACATGACATATAATCCAAGGTTCCATACCCTCAGAACCAAATTTAAAAATGTTACTTACCTCAATCCGAGCAAATCTCTACTCCAACATACCTTTGCCTCGCGAATCAGCCTCCAAATGTCCCGAATCTAGCCACAAATAGTACGATACAATTAACACGGGCTAAAGAAAACAATTCCATAAGGAAATACTAAGTTATTAATCAAAAGACAAATATCGACTCAAAAGCCGGTCCTCGAGCCCACGTCTCTAAATTCGATAAAAGTCACAAAACCCGAAAGCTCATTCAACCACGAGTCCAACCATATCAAATTTATCAAAATCTGACACCAAATCGCCACCCAAATTTCCAAATCAAACTCTCCAAATCCCTAGTCTCAAACACCCAATTTACACCTTAAATACGCACCAACAAGGTGGAAAAATCAATGGGGAAGCAAGATTATTGATAAAAAAAATGAGCACAAGGGACTTACCTAAAAAAATCCCCTCGAAAGTTCTCTCAAAAATCGCCAAAACCCGAGCTCAAAAAGTTTGAAATGAAGCAATATCGCGAACCCTTGTATTTAAATGTTCTGCCCAGCACTTCCGCTTCTGTGGAAACTTAACCGCTTCTACGGCATGGCAGAGGCGACCACTCACCCGCATCTGTGGCTCCTTCCGCTCTTGTGGACTCGCTTCTACGAGCATCCAAGCCGCTTCTGCGGAACCTAGCTCCCCTGCCTCATTCCGCTTCTGCGGACCCCCTGCCGTATCTGCGGTCACGCAGGTGCGACAATTCCCTCGCACCTCTCGGCCACCTGCACACACCCCTCCAAACTCGCACATGCAAAACCCAGCCCGTACCTGCAATCAAAGCTCCGTAGGTGCGGTTACACCAGCAGAGTCCAGCTTCAGCAATCTCCCAACTTCAACTTTTGATCTGTTAACCATCCGGAATCAACCCGAGGCCCCCGGGACCTCAACAAAACATACCAACAAGTACTAAAATATGATACGATCTTAGTCGAGCCCTCAAATTACCTCAACCAACATCAAAAATACGAATCGCACCCCAATCCAAGCCTATTGAAACTTAGGAATTCCAACTTCTACAAATGACGCCGAAACCTATCAAATCACGCCCGATTGGCTTCAAATTTTGCACACAAGTCATAAATGACACCACGGACCTACTCCAACTCCCAGAACTCCAATCCGATCCCCATATCAAAATGTCCACTCCCGGTCAAACTTTTCAAAAATCCAGCTTTTCGCCATTTCAAGCCTAATTCAACCACGAACCTTCAAATCACAATCTGGATACTACCCTAAGTCCAAAATTACCCAACGGAGCTAACAGAATCATCAAAACTCCATTCTAGAGTCATTTACACATAAGTCAACATCCGGTCAACCATTTCAACTTAGGCTTTCAATCTTGAGACTAAGTGTCTCAATTCATTTCGAAATCTCTCCGGACCCGAACCGACTACCCCAGCAAGTCACATGATAACTATAAAGTACATAATGAGCAATAAATGAGGGAATGGGGTTACAACTCTCAAAACGACCGGCCGGGTCGTTAGATCCTCCCCTTCTTAAATAAACGTTCGTTCTCGAATGGGTCTAGAAACGTACCTGGAGTCTCAAATAGGTGTGGATATCTGCTCCACATCTTCCGCTCAATCTCCCAAGTAGCCTCCTCAACTGGCTGACCTCTCCACTGCACCTTCACTGAGGCAATGTCCTTTTACCTCAACTTTCGAACCTGCCGATCCAAAATGGCCATCGGCTCCACATCATAAGTTAGATCACCATCCAATTGTACCGTGCTGAAATCCAAAACATGAGACAGACCGCCGACATACTTCTGAAGCATAGAAACATGAAATAATGGATGCACGATAGACAAACTAGGTGGCAAGGCAAGCTTGTAAGCCACTTCTCCAATCCTATAAAGTACCTCAAACGGTCTAATATACCGAGGGCTCAACTTGCCCTTCTTCCTGAACCTCATAAATCCTTTCATGAGTGAAACCTTGAGCAGAACCTTCTCACCAACCATGTAAGCAACATCACGGACCCTCTTGTTGGCATAACTCTTCTTTCTAGACTGCACCATGCAAAGCCGCTACTGAATCAATATAACCTTGTCCAAAGCATCCTGAACCAAGTCAGTACCCAATAGCCTAGCCTCACCCGGCTCAAACCAACCCACCAGAGATCTACACCGTCTCACAGCCTCATACGAAGCCATCTGAATGCTCGACTGGTAATTGTTGTTGTAGGCAAACTCCGCGAGCGGCATAAACTGATCCCATGAACCCCCAAAATCAATAACAAAAGCGCGGAGCATGTCCTCCAATATCTGGATAGTGCGCTCGGACTGTCCGTCTGTCTGAGGGTTAAATGCTATGCTCAACTCAACCTGGGTGCCCAACTCTCGCTGCATGGCTCTCCAAAACTGTGATGTAAACTGCGTGCCCGATCTGATATGGACATGTAACACCCCGTAAATTTGGCTAAGGTATGGACGTGTTAAATGAATAGTAATGTTACAGTTTAGACATGTGAAGTTCTATTGGGATGAGTATGAGTGGAAATAGTTGTTTCAGAATCAAGATGGAGAATGAGGTGCATAAGATTCGACATAATCGACTAAGTT